AACTCTACACCTTAATTATGTTGGACGCCGACAGTCACGACGTGAACAATGATAAACTAGAGCGACCAGATTACCCGGATCACAGTGGCCATCAAACACTGCACTGGCTGGTGGTGAACGCTAGCCGTACTGACCCTGGTCAAACTGTTACCGGTTATATGGGTTCTGTGCCCACCCAGGGTACAGGCTATCATCGATACGTGTTTTTAGTGTACAAACACCGGCATAGGATTGTAGTGCCAGTCACTGATGGCGGTATAAAGTGTCGCAAAGGTTTTAACCTGAGAGAGTTTGTCCAGTTTTATGCCCTTGGTGATCCGGTGGCCGCCAATTTTTATCGCGCTAAGTTTGATGAGTACGTCCCGGTGCTAAAGACCAGAATGTTAAATAAAACGCGCCAGGTTGTTCGTAACCCGACGCAGCACTCTCAGGCATTTTATTGGATCTGGGAGGGTTACGGATAAAAATATTAATTAATATACTCAATCGTTTTTATTGTGTTATTTGACCATTGTAAAATATGTTAATTTTTGCTCACCTAATTCTTTACATTAAATTTGTAATTCAATTTATAAATTTAGTAATTTATTTCTTTAATTAATAAATGTGTTTATTTATTTTTGTTGTATTATTTTTGTTTTTATTAAATTTTACAAAAAAAATCACTTAAATCATTTAAAAACACGTTTTGCAAGTAATTTAGAAACTCGTTATAAAGTGGAATATTCTGTTATTTTTTAACCTAGTTTTTAGCTGTTTTAGTTCTTTTATACTGTATATGAATATACCAAATACTGTTGTATTGAATGTGTATTAATATAAATAGTACTCATATTTTCTATTCAGTAAAAAACATACAAATATTTGTGAATAGATGTCAGACTTTTTGCATTAAATATTACTTTATATACCTTTCAATTGAATGTTAATATTACGACATTTTGGGCACAAAAATCCTATTCATTCAAACAATCACTTCATTTGATTCCAAGATATGGCACAACATATGAAACACAAGAAAATATTAACGATAACTATAGACGACAGCGAAGATGAGGGCGAAGACAATGTCAGGCAACAGGTATTTGACAAACAATTTACTCATTATTGAGTTCTCATTGTTTTTGACTCACATTTTAGGTACAGATCTATGCGAAGGACTCAATGGACAGATTGGGTGATGACTTGTATGGACTCGTATTATCCTATCTCTCACTCGAAGATCGGTTTCTTTACGAATGTGTGTCCAAACAGTTCCAGAGGACAGTCTTCGAGTGTGTTGTCGACATCACTCTTAACGAACATATAATAAGGAAAACACAGGGTGTTTCAGCGCTGACATATTGCGACGATTTTACCCAGTTGCGTACCCCAGCAATGGATCCCAGCAACATAACATTTTCAAATGTTTGTAATATTCAAAAGTTAAATCACATTTACTTGAAAACAATTGCCATAAAGTGTGCAAACATTGAGACCATTGACTGTCGAGATATGCCATTATCTGATAAATACATTCCCGAAGTGTTGGCAATATTTCGAGACAATTGCCGCCATTTGCGGCACATTTACTGCAATTTATGGCAAAATCGTAAGCAAACAATGGTTTCTTTGGGACCATTGATTACACGAATCGGTTGTGTTAATTATCACAGCGACTGTCAATCGCTCACTCATTGCCACCGTTTGTCTGAATTAAGCGCAAACTCTTTCAGCGATATCTATAGGAAATCTTCAAACACTTTGTTTGCGAAGAATTTAAATAAATTTGAGTTGAGATACATTATGGATAATTCAGATGAACACAAATTATCTGTATTTGTGGCACAGAATCAGTCAATAAAAAGCGTTAGTTTTAGGACCGGACAAATGTTGACCAAACAATTGTCACGATTAACACAATTACGGGAATTAACACTCGGTTTATGGATAATGAAAGGCGAGAACTCATTGTCTGAGTCTTTGCGTACAATTGGCCTAAACTGCAAACAATTGAAACGATTGTCACTTACTATTCGGTCGTATAACATACTATTCAATGGCAATTCATTGGATTCATTGAGTTGTTATCACAGATTGAAACGATTGGATTTAACACTAAATATTGTCATTGATGTGAAAGCGTTGGAACCGTTGAAACTCTGCCACCGATTAACACATTTAACAATTTCTTTATTTGAATTGAGTGAAAAATTTTTAACCAATTGTGAATATCATTGGCCACGACTTCAATACCTATATCTCAAATGCGAACACCGAGTGTTAGCTCAGACGTACAGTCGGTGTTTGTCACACATCTCAAGACTACCGGCGCTAAAAACACTGAACATAAGTTCCAACTGTAAAATTGATATCAAAGACAGTGATTTGTATCATCTTTTGTCCAGAAGTCCTAAACTATTGAATATTACAATCCATTGGAGAAATTTTGTCAAATATTATTGCCGTAAAAGTGCATTAAGTATTAAATGAGTTAAACTTATGTATAAATATATTTTCTATGAAGTATATTCTATTAAAATGCGCATGGTAATTCATACTTTTATTTTATTTAATAACTATTACAATATTACTCTTGAATTTTATTATAAATAATAATGTTAAAATTAAATATAAATTGCTGTTGGTGATTTTTAATTGTTATGTTAAATGTAATTCTTTCTGATAATGAATTGAATGCTGTGTTGTCTTCGAGTCCTAAACTTAAGACAATTGAAATCCATGTAAACAATGAGAAGAAGTTTTATTCAAAGTAAAAAGCATTACTTCATTTTGTAATTTATAAATACAATGTTATTAATATTTAAAATGTTGCTTGATTTATAAATTAAATGCAATAAGTGAGTTTATTTATTTTGGCTATTGTTTTATTGTTTTAAGTTTATTAAAATATTATTTTGTTCAAGTTAAGTAAATTTAAATGTTATAATTCTATACAAATATTTAAAACAAAACTTTTAATTAATCTCAAATTAATATCTTATGTAAGAGCATTATATTGTCTTGGCCAGTTACAAATATTATAAATTAAAATTTAGTTTATAAATATAAAACATATGGTCTAATTCTTAATTTAGTTTATATAATAAAATGAGAGAGAGAGAGAGAGAGAGAGAAGTAAAATTAACATAACAATTAAAATGCACCAACAACAATTCATACATTTAAGTTATCAACAGTATTCATTCAATTCAATTCACATTTAATTTTAATCATAATTATTTATAATAAATGTCAACAGTAATATTGT